ATTTACTTTATTTGCGGGTAAGTTTAATTGACTGACTAAAATATATTATGGAACTATAGACATCATAGGTGTGCGGTGAAGTAAGGCGTCATTGATCGATGTTTCTCCCTATTTTGGACTGATTACATTAGTGGAAACACCATAAATCGGCAAATTGACTGTAGTATTTTGCTATATGCTATCTTTAGGTTGAAGAGGTTAAGTCAAGTTCGTCGAAGAGGACATGAAAAAGAAACTTAGCAGGTAGGCTTATATATCTTGGTTTTTTTCTCATTCTCCTTTATTCCTTTTCTGGAGGAGCTGAAACATTTAACAGCCAGAAATACGGAAATTTTATCATTCAGAGTCACGGTGGTAATGAAAGAGGACTGTTTTTATGAGGTTATTTGCAATGTTGCGAGGTCCTAAGACATGCGGCTGTCGTGACTTTGCCTCGTCTTACGTTAACCGCGCGAAGGTAGTTGCTTTTTAGAAGTGCGGTCTGTATGGATGTCTTTTTACTTGCAATGCAGTCTTTTTCGAACGGGTTGGCGCTTGCTTTTATAGCTCACCGGCTTGTATTTTATCAAAGTGTGTAATACTGTTTTTGCCTCGTGGGGACATATTGTTGTTAAGACCTCTTGTGTGGCAAGAAGCAGCATTCCTCTACCATTCTTTTCTTTAAACATGCTGAAAAAATGATTTGATCATGCTGTATAGAATTCGACTATTTCTTACTCCTTTTCTTCCTCTGGACGACTAACTGCACTTTTCTGAGGTGAAAAACTACTTTTCGTTCGCATTCTCTTCAGGTTAACCGCATCTTTCACTGCAGTATTGAGGATGCAAATTGCTAGATGTTGCCATCTCTATGATGAGTTTTTTGCTATGGTCTGTTTTCGTGGTCTTTTGAATCACTAACTTTTCTTTCAAATGTTACTATTCCTCCCATTGAGCTGAACTTTCTCATTCTTCTGTTGTAATCATTAAGTGTCCTCTTTGGTGCCACTTTTTGTTAGGGAGTTGCAAAACTGCTGTCAACGTTAGTTTTTCAGTGTTGCTTTGTGGTAATCATCCACTTATTGAGTCCAACTACTCGTTGTCACAATCACGTTTTGTCTATTACCGCAAGACGCACCCTACTGACCAAAAGTGGACGATATTCTGAAGTGTTTTAGATTGTTTGAGAAGTTTGAGTATGG